CCCTCGATTTCGACGATTAAAATCGCCAGAAGGACAACGATTCTTCCAAGATTATCGGAAAGTTGACAATCGGTCCGCCGAAGTTCAAGCGACGCTGTTATTCTCTGCAACGCGTGCGCATGCACGAGCAACGCTTTTTAATTAACGAAAGAACATTCGGAAGCTTCCCTAGCCGCTTTGTCGCGCAATTTCGCCCTCGCCCACTCGGGAATCGCGCTTAAAACAGTTGCTGCGGATTTACGCGATCGCGGAGAGATACCGATCGCGACGATTGTGATTTCTGTGTGGAAAATTGCGTGCACAGGTGCCGCGGTCGTCGTTAGGAAAGTCGATTACCCTCGCGACTATGCTGTAGATTTAATCCTTTCGCAGTCTCGCGACTCGAATGCTCGCGCCGTAGAATCTGCTGGATAATATTTTATCGGACACTCGCGCTGTACAGACGCGGCAGTGGAAACGATCTCGAGCCGCTCGTTATCCCCGAGAAATTCCGATAAGGCGTCCGAATTGATAGCCGAACGAATGGAACGTTGCACTTTTAGAAAATCCACTTTTACGATCGACGATTGTGCTACGTTACCTCTTCTGACGACGACTATGCGGCACAGCACCGAGACAAGAAACTGCGGCACGACCATCTCTCGCAAACAAAGCAGCAGAACGAAAGAACAGGATCCTTGGCAACGATAGGTGCGGGAGCAAACTGACAGAAATCGAGAGCGAGGGATCAGCATGCTCCAGGTTCGAGGATCTCGAGCATGACGCCAGGCGTTACCAGGCACTCTTTCCGCGAACCTGGGAATTGTCTACGGTGAAATGGTCCTCTGTCGCTGAAATCGACCGGTTCGAAACGGAAAGTGACCATTGACCGAGCATTGGGCGATCGAAGGAGAGACTCTCCTCGATCCTTCGCGATTCAGTCTGCTCGCTTTGGAATTCCTAATGACGAATGCCTTTTCACGAATCGTAATTCGAGATCGAATCTCTACCGTGATTTTAGTTTTTTAGTTCCATTTCTTCTTTAGTTCCATTTTTAGTTTCATTTCTTTAAATGGAACGTTACGCGTGGTCAATGATTGCCAAACATCGGAATCAATTTACTTGAAAAGCAGAAGATTAAAAATTAACATCGTTCTGTTAATTCCTTCGTTACGCAATTTTTTACAGGAAAATTAAGAATTGAATTTCACTCTCTCTCTCTCTCTCTCTCTCTCTCTCTCTCTCTCTCTCTTTGCGAAAACGGAAAAGAACAGTTTCAGCAGAGAGGGTTATAAATCGCGAATAAAAATCCGCGAATAATTCTCTCGGTCTAAAATCGATGGAGAAAGGCGCTGACATAAAAGAAAAAGATACATTTCCATAGATCGAATCGAAAAATGTTCTGCATCGTTGCTTCTCCGCCAAAAAGTAACGTTCGACCTCCGATCGAGAACTCCAATACTCCGAGAAACAAAGTTGCGGCGAAGACTGGTCGCGCCAAAAATTGAATCGCGTCGAGATCCTCTTTCTCTCGGTCGTTTTTGCCGGTCCGGAAGGGGATTGCGACACCCGGACATCCAGTGACGATCAAATCCTTCGTCCGGAAACAAGCTTTCTAAAAATGGAGAAGTCCGAGGCCCGGGGAGAGTACACGTCGACCGGTTCTCGTCGCGGCCGTCGGCCGTCTTCGCGGATCCTTCGCAGAGATTACGTTCCGATAACCGAATAAATGGAACGAAAGCTGCCGGATGGACCGTCAAATAGAAACTACAATTAGCCGGAGAATTGAACGGGCGCATCGACGGACTAATCGGGTGGCTGATGGGCTCCTTGGCATCGACAGGAACGTCGGCGGATTCATCGAATGGAAATTGCACAATTTCCACGCGGTAATTCCATTAATCCGTGGCGCGCGGGATTTTCAAGAGTTTATAATCGGCCACGGTTTTACACGGTGTACAACGCCGGGAATTATTCATGTCGCGCGCCGCAAATAGGGGAACAACGTCCGTTCCCATTATATCTATCTTCATAATACGTTCGCGGTGAACGTACTTGCCTCCGAGATCGTACGAAAAAGAAAATTGATAGTTTATGCTCCCATTTTCCTACCCGCTTCTATTCTCACGACCGTTTTATTATTCCACCGATTCCTCTACTATGCGGCCACGCTTTATGCTTACTTTGCTCGATTTTTCTTTCTCCAACGATATCGAACATTATGGTCGACGTCGGTGCGCAGAAGTTCCCATTTTTATTTAGCCGCAATTTTTGTTGCCACTTTATTTTCCGATCGTCGTCGTTCGACCGATGAAACGTAACTTCCATTCGATATCGTAAGATGGATTCAATTCGTTATTCGCATTATTTGCAAAATGCTTTCCTAAACGGCTGCGGTCGTTTAAGTATTATAGTTCGAATAACGGAAATGGACTTTCCGTTCGGTGTTAATTCATTTTTCCACAGCTTCGTGGCTCGTTGAAAATTCGAGACGAACGAACGTACACGGGTTCCGAGCCGCGACGCGATTGTTACGGCTGTTGTTTAAGGGATTCGGTTGAAGGCGAAAGTTATGGTTTCCTATTCGCTGCGTAAGGGACTGTAAAGTTGTTCGACCAGTTCGGAAAGTCGGCGGCGCGGCGTCGAGGGCGGTTTAATATTTCATGTAATTCTAAAGAGTGTGTTCTCTCTCGCGGCCATTGTTTTCGGGGAAATGAAACGCGAGTGTTGTCTAAGTGCGCGTGCACTCGTGTGCAGCCGTAGATGCTCGAGCAGCACTGTACTCGAGTGCACGCGCACTCGGCGAGTCGATACACAACTTCCATTTACGCGAAAACGAAGTCCTCCAGCGAAGTACGCTGCTGGCAAAAAATCTTTCTCCTGTTTTACGGTTAAACACGCTCCGCTGTCTACGATCCGGATGAAATACGAACGTGCCCATGATAGAGACCGTTTCTCAAAAACATTTTGACCAAAGCCTTGCACCAGGAACGATCTCCAAAAATGTTTCGATGGACGACCAGGCGATAATTACGATTGAAAAGGAGCGTACGACACGAATTTTTAAAAACGAGGCGAATAAGAGTGGCCAGTGATCAAGATAAGAAAATTATTTGCATCAAAGATGGACGACAGATAAGACGTGAAAAAAATATTATCTTGGAAATGGATAACTTAAAGCAGTCTAGAAAATGTGTACAATTTTATACTGGACAATAAAGAAAACTTGGAAGGAACGTTGCTGAAAAATTCATACTAAACTAGACGATAAAGCACGCGTGATCTTAAATAGGCCGCTAAACGATCTAAAAAGATACGTACATCGGGAATGAGCGATAAACAAGACAAAAGGGCGCGTGGAACTTGAAAATGGATCGCGATTAAGGTTAAAATAAAGAAATATTTTTGGCACCTGTTGAAACTAATCGCGACCAATGCGACGATTAATACGGACGGGAAAGGAGGTTGTTTGCGAGTTCGAGCGATCCCACCGCCATTTTGGTTCCCGGACATAAACCACGGCTAGAGATCAGGGTGACTTTCATCCGCGGTTCCTCCCGCCGGCCGAGCGTCCGGTTTTCTGTTCCACGCGTACGCGTGTATCTGGGTCAGGGTGCTTTCCAGATATTAGGGGGATGATGCGCAAAATATCCCCACCACGGTGTGCGGTACCAGCAACTTTTGCACCCCCGACGTGACGCGACGCGAGACGAGGCGAGGCGACTCGACGCACAGTCCGTGGACCACGTCGAATCGCAGCCAGCCAATTTTCCATTTGCACTCGAGAACAACCACCGATCATCGTCCCTGCCCACCTCGAGTCGTCCATTGTCTCCTCGAGCCCGCGCCCCTGCCAAGAACGTGACGGGAAATTCGTTTCCCAACCCCCGAGAGCGAGAGGCGTCGCAATTTGGCGACGGTTCTCGACGGGACGTTTCGATTTAATGAACCGCGACGGGACACCCAGGAAAATCGTCGGGCAAACTCGCGTTAATTCTGCGGCCTCCCGGAAGAGATTTCGGGGGTGCTCGCCCCTTTGTCTTCGCGGGACGCGCCGCGAGGGGCCCTGAAACGGAGCCAGAAATCTGGCCTGGGAAAGTTCTTTGGCGACCTCGAGTTTAACTACCCTCCATTTTATCTTTCTTCAACGAGCAAGTTCCTACGAGGTTGTCGCGAGACCGTATTTCATGCACACTTTCTTATCCCGGAAGGGGGTAGCATAATTCAGCATGATCAAAGAACGCCGGAGTTGATTTTCGCGACCGTATTCTCCTCGCGCGAATCCAGCTGGGCGTTTATTATTAATCTTCATGGACACCAGAATTTTTTTACAGAAATTATAGATATATCACGTCGGAAGCTCGAGAGAATTTTTATTTAAATAACGCATTTATATATTTATCGAACCCTTCGCCTCGTTCTAATTTAATCTCTGCGCGGTTTACGATTTTTATTTTATATGGTTTACGCGGTTTACAATTTATCCTGATCTTATAGGAAATTTTTATCAGCGAAAATATACAAATAATTTCGATTCGGTTGCTTTGTTCATCGAATTTTCCTTGCGAATCCACGATCGATTCGCTAAAAAGAAAAAAGTTCGAAGAAAAGAGCAATTCGCGTTTGCTTCCGGTGTATCCAAGCCGATGCCCCTCGTCGTTTGCTATACCATGGGGTGTCGTGCGGGGGTGGGTTCGAGTTGGCACGGCCGGAGATCGCGTGGCAACGGGCAAAAAGTGGCGAAAAACAACGGAACCGGCGGAAAGAAATAATATATCGATCGATCACGGGTGCGCTGACTAGGTGTACACGCCGCGCCGCAAGAATACACGGCGGCGAAGTATATGTATTATTATATATCGCTATGATTCAGCCTTCCGCGAAAAAACGATCGAGCCTTAAACCCGAGCTACCCCGCGGAAAATGGGATCGATCGCTTCATCGCGTTTCGGAGAGATTGTTTGTAGGACGTTACCCGTTACGCAGCCGGTTTTCATGGGAGACGTGTTTCGCTGTTGCAGGATAAATTGCTGACGAAGCTGGAGGAGAACGAGCCTGAGCTGGCATCCTCGCAGGAGGACGAGGTGAGTGCCGTAATCTCACATTTTATATCTTGACGCTGCCCATTTGCGATCGGACGATCGTAATAAATACAAGAATTTCGGGGAGGGCGAGGCGAACCATTGGGAACGTAATTTAGAGTACAAACTGCGAAATGAGAAAAGTAGGCTTAAATATAAAAATTGAGAATTAACTGTTGCGAGCAAAATACAAGAAATTGAAGGAACAAACGATTGGAAACAGAATTAATGCCAAAAACAAAGGTGTAGAAGTTGAATGAAAAAATTACGAGCAATTGGTTCAAGCGTTTATTGTAAATTCGATTGTTGGAGCTCGCGGCAAAGTTGGGGCGGTCCCGATGAATAGTAACGCGGGGTAGGTTTCACCTAATCCCCGCAGCGGATGAAAGAAAATCCCTGGGGCAAGTTCGAGTGGCCTCCGATCCAATTAACACCGCGACGGGGCTGAGACTTTCTCCGGCGGGTAAGGTCAGCCGCATCCCCGCGGTGTGTCCTCCTCCATTTTTCTCCCCGAGGTTCCTCTCGAAGTAACCTCGTTACTTTCTCCTTCGTCGTGGTCAGGACAAGACGTAATCAAGCCTAATTCGTAATTTCACCGGGACAGGAGACCGACCAGAGGCGGGGGGAATGAGATTTCCAGCCCCGGAGCCGCGCCACCCCCCTGCAAAGTGCTTCGAAATAAAAGAAACCTCTTGACGTCATTGAAAGATTCCTCGAATCAATCGTGTTCGCTGGATCGGGAAAGTGTCTTGCGGGTTTCACCCTCGAGAAATTGTTTTTTAATGCCTCCGGCGACCTACCCCGTGCAAGCCTGCGAGGGCGGAAGATGGATCTTTTAGAAAACGACGCTGCGCGAAGTAGATTTCTTGCACGTTGTTTATTCGCTGAGCGGTATTACTCCATGCGCGGTAATGTTCGTTGGATATTTCGATCGAATATTTGTTGAATGCTTTTGGAAGGTATGTTTGAAAAATTCGGCACTATGCGATGGAGTAATAATACCGATCGGAATAATTGACGAAGTTAAGGATAGGACAATTGTATAGTAATGTCTCTCCAATTGACGCCCAGATTGCGCACAAAAATGGACAATTTGGGAAGAGGAGATACGATTGTTCGAGCCTTGCGGTTTATTATGATAGTTATAAATTGTCCACAATTATAAAAATGAGTCGCGAAGCTCGAATAATCGTATCTCCTCTTCCCAAATTATATATCGACGAATGGTCAGGAAATAAGACTTATCTCGTCAAACGAGATAAATGTACATGATTCAAGAACAGTTCAAATATGAAGCAACGGGGAAATATTAATTGAAGCTCGCATTCTAAACGATACCAGGAAAGAAGTAGCTAACCAAAGAACGGGAAATTGAACGCGTGCTGCACGATCCTATATATAAAAAGGATGCACATTCCGGTTACAGAATTTTCCGCGAAGCATTTATTTCTTTGTTCGAAACCAGCAATTGCGTTATCATTAAAATCTCGTCGAGCAGTATTCCTCCTCCTCCTTTCACGGGGCACAAAGGTACAAAGCGATCGTCGCGACGGTTGTATCAGCGAAAGAATAATCTACGGAACAATGCTTCGAGTGTAATAAACCAGCTGTAAACAGATCTTTGGAACAGACCCCGGCGAATTAACGAAATTAACAAGTCTATTTCCATGTAGAGGGAGTATTTCGGTGACGAGAAATTCCCAAAAAAAGGAAGTCTCTCTCTGACCCAGAAAGTTGCGCCGGTGTTATTAATACAGGTTCCAGTGGGTGGCCACGGTTGCAGAGAAAATATTCAGCCGGACGTTGCATAGAGAGGACTGTGTCACGACGGAAAGACAGCCTGTCGTCCGGAAAAGTTGCAATTTCCGGTCGAGCGGCTCGCTCAATGGCTCACGAAAGTCGATTAACGAGCCTGACAAAGCGCTCGCCCGGCGACCCTGCGACTCCTGACGTGTTCGTCCACCGTTGAGCTATTAATATTTCGATCAAGCCGACGCCTAATTCGGTTAGATCAATTACGATCTCCTAAGGTTGCACGGTAAACAGACTCGTCAAACCGGCGCGGCATGGCGCAGCCGGCCGATCGTACGCGACAAGATCGACGATCTGCAACAACGACGACGGCTTCCGGATCGCGTCGTTAATGAGGTGGACGCTCTTCGTTAATCGTCGTATAGCCGGCATAAACTTTGCTTCGATTTGGCCTCGACGGAATCGTCGCGTATAGACATCTTGCGCAAGAATAATTTTGGTTAATTGTTGAAAGATGGTTTCGATCGTTGCTGAATTGGACAAGGAGGGGAAATGATGGAACAAGAAGAATACCGATGATTTTGATGGAGACGATAAATCGGAAACGTCCGATCATGGCTGACGGATTCAAAGTTGGACAATTTGGGAAGACGAGATACGATTATTCGAGCCTTGCAACTCATTTTTATAGTTACCGATTGTCAACAATTATAAAAGCTAGGTGCAGCGCTCGAACAATCGTATCTCCTCTTCCCAAATTGTCCATTTTTCTGCACAATCCGAGCGTCGGTTAGGGAGACAAAAAGGTTCCTAAAGACGATCCTATTGGAGACAAAGAGTCTCGTGGACGTTCATTTTCCTATGAAATTTTTATTCCGCAATCGCAGATACGACAACGATCGATCTCGAATAAATTTCACGAGATTTCCAGAGATTTGTGAAACAGATTTATTTATCAACTACAAATAGAGATCCTTAGTCAGGACAGCGTGTCTCTACTACCTCTAATTATGCCCTTTGGAAACAGTTCAACCTTCCTAAAATAAAATGGATCACAAGTACATCGCTATACTCGAGGTGCATCTCTTAGATAAATTGGTTTAGGTCGTAGAAATGATCATGTTCGAGACCTTTCCCATGTTGCCGTTGTGAAGCATCCATCCTGGTACACTCGCGACTGGTGGTATATCTTCGTCGTCCGGGCTGCCACCGACTATGTCTCCACCGGACGCTGGATTTTGCGCGAACCTCTTCTTCCTCTGGGTGCTCATGTCCGGTGGAGGACCGCAAGGAGGTGGTCCATTGGGTGGAGGTCCTGAGGGTGGAGGGCCGTCCGGAGGCGGGGGACAGTCCGCCGAGGAAGTTTGTGGACTGCGTTTCGCTCTGGGAGGCATCGTGGTCATGTCCCTTGGCTCGCCATGAGGACTGCGTTTTTCTCTGGGACCCATCGTGGTCGTCATGTCCCCTGGACCACCATGAGGACTGCGTTTTCCTCTGGGACCCATCGTGGTCATGTCCCTTGGGTCACCCTGAGGACTGCGCTTTTCTCTGTGCTCCATTGGCTCGTCCCTTGGAGGTTCGTCCCTTGGAGGCTCCTCTTTTGGGGGCTCAGCCTTCGCGAGGGCCTTCGACGACACCCCAGTCACCTAGAATTCAGTAGGAACTTTGGCTAGCTGGCCTCCAATTAGGATGCAAATCCTTCGATCGTTCTCGAGAGGTGTCTCGCGGAATTTGCATAAAAGAATGTTACTGCATAAATTTCGGAAACATGCTTTCTATTTCATTTCGATCGTTTCCAATGCGTCGCTTTAAAAGGTAAATGGAAGATCGGATAAAATGTTATCTCATTCTTCGTCGACATTTCCAATTCCGCGAGTTGGAAATAAACAACAACTGCATCCGCGTTTTATTCGCTCTTGTGTATCGCGATTCTTTATAAGTTATCCGGTGCAAATGCGTGAAAATTCACAGCTCAATAATTCTCATATGTACAATGTTAAACCAGTCGCGCGTGTCTATGAACCGTGGAGTGTAATCAACCAACGAACCGTAATTGCTGTTAATCTTATTGCTGGTTATTTGTACCATACGTTCGCTTTTAATGGACACGTACAAAAATTGGTTACGCAAAAGGACCTAATATTAGAGCAGCGGTCTAATAAAAATCCCCGAGACACACCGGACCCTCTCGAATCCAACCGAAATACAGTAATGTCTCCCTAACCGACGCTCAGATTGTGCAGAAAAATGGACAATTCGGGAAGTGGAGATACGATTGTCCGAGCGCTGCACCTAGTTTTTATAATTGTCGATAATCGGTGACTATGAAAATGAGTCGCAAGACTCGAATAATCGTATCTCCTCTTCCCGAATTGTCCAATTTTGTGGACAATCCGAGCGTCGATTAGAGAGACATTACTGTACCCCGATACAAAATCGCTCTTACCGCTAGCACCAAAATGGCAGCTGCGGCAGCAACTACGAGATGCTTCATGGTGGCTGTTCCGCGACGCTCGACACTGTGCCACCTGTTCCCGAGACACGGCAATAAATAGCGTCCCGACAAGAACAGGAAGGAGGATCGAAACAAGGAAAAAGGCGAGACAGAGACGGGACAGTCACGCGCGAAAACTGTGTCGCCGTGGAAGAAAATGATCCTGGACGATCATTATCGGCCCGGCCATTGTTCAATCGCGTCGCGTTTGATTTCGTTGTCACGAACCGCGACGGAAATGACGGACTCTCCCGGAGACACCAGGCCACTCGAAAACATTCCCAGTGTTCGCGGCAAGAAAAACAAACTCGGCCTCGCCGTTGACGAGCGAGGTCCGCTGATTGCGCTGAATCTTATCGCCCTTCCGATCGTTTCTCTAATTTCAGTTTAATAATTGCGATGCTTGTCGCCGCGCGGAACCAATTTGCTCCGCGACAGTAATCCGCGGCGATTATGGAATTACATAATTTCCGACCGGCCCGATACATACTTTGCCCGGCATCAATTACCTTTATCAGCGGGCATTTCGTTCAATTATTTTGCGTTTTGCTGCGAGGCAGCTGCGCGTCAGTCTACTCGAGATTATATCGTATAATTAACACTCGCGGGAATCGGTTGCACAAGAGGATCACGGATCACGCGTCGATCGCGTTTTCTCCGTGCTTCGAATCAATGTCCCCTTGCGAAATTTTATGGCTTGTAGAAACAACGAGCTTCTTAGAGGCTGCGTCGATTAATTATTGGACGACAGAAGTTTCCGGGTGATTATGAGCGAAGCTCGTCCGTGGACTCTCTAAATCCGGAAACCTGCTGATCGTCCAAAAATCCCCGGAGCACAGAGCAGACGCAACTTTCTAGGAAATTCATCGGGAAGATGAAACTCCCTTGTAATCAGGACGAAAACTGAAGTACCGTTTTCTCGTTTACAGTGCGTGATATGTGTGAACGCCAGGGCCACGATGCAGACGGCTCCCTGCGGCCACCGTGTGGTTTGCAAGTAAAATACTAAGTTTTATTATCAGTAAATGCAATTGTTACTTAGAATTAGTCGACGAATAGTCGAAGCTTGTTCGATCGATAAGATATTCGCAATGTCGATTAAATCTTGATTCGCTCTCGTTGCAGACGCTGTTTCGTCAAGACGGTACAAATGGCAGTCTCGCAGAGGCTGTTGCCATTGCGCTGCGTCATTTGCAGAGCGAAGATCCTGCGTCTCAAGCAGACCCTAATCCCGCGGGACGTAAGTATCGCTGACTATCGAACGTATCGAATAATTAATAAACCGCAGCTCGTTTAAACTCAAAACTCTCGCACTCGAGTGTACAGTGAACCGGCTATAATTTCGTAAAAAAGAGTCGCAAGACGATAAACTTGGACTCGTTTTAAAGCTGGAAGCTCCTACTTTTGCTACGCTTTGTTCTTTTCTTTGTAACAAAGTCCTGAAGCATAATGTACCAGATGGAACAGTAGAGAGACGTGCACTTCCTTGAAAATTTTACGGCTTGAAACGTTTGTAAATATGTACATTGGAAAATTTTCTTCGCTACCATGTCTGATACGTATTCGAAGAGCGAAGTCTCCTCTTTACAATGACCCCTTAAACTTTGGCGTACCATTTTTCTTAGTCGCTTTATCGCGCTCCGAAGTTAGCAGTGATCCAAGGTATGCGAGGGCTTCGCGCGATCGGACCTATGCCTCGTTTTCGTTCCATAACGCGACTAAACAAAATCGTACGCCAAGTTTCGAGGAGTCGTTCCAAAGGAGAAGCTTCGATCTTCGAATCCACGGTAAACTCGTTCGCGAGAAAAATTTTCCTACGTTTTCGTGGACGTTGCAATTTGTAGTATATTTCGAGTCTTCGATCGTCCGACTGTTGGAGAGAAATGACCGAAGCAAACGGCGTGTTCCTTCGGTCGAATTCTCGCGTCCGAAAAATTCCTATGAAAAAGAAGTCGGGCCAGTGACGTCAAGGCTTTTTTTGCAGCCGCCGCTATCGTGTATATCACATGTCCGATCACAATTGCCCCAGAAATTCGTGTTTGTTTCGTATCGCGAGGCCGAGCCGGGCCGACGATTGGTCGATCCGATTCCGAGGCGGCGTAAAATCGCGGCTAATTGGAGCGGACTCGAAAAGCTCTCTCGTCGCCTTTCAGCGAGGCCGAATTCAGCGGGGGAGAAGGGAGAGGGCCGGCTACTCGCGACGTATGACCATTCCGTTCGGGAAGCTTTCCATAAATACCGACCGGCCTGAATGCTCGGCCCACCCTCTTCCCTTGCTCCCCCCCTCTATTCTTCTCCTTCCTTTTTTTTTCATTTCGCTGCAATTAATCGAAATTTCCGGCGCGTACGCGAGAAACGAGCCGCGAGTAATTCGTTCGGGCCGAACGTTTCGTTTTTTTCGATAAATAAACGATCCCTTTCTCGCCGAAGGATCGAACTCGATATAACGACCGGTCGCGATATTTTTCTCGAATTTCCATTCACGTTGCTCGGTCCGTTATTCTTTGTCTTTTATTCCGCCAGGCTTCTCGTTTTTATTTGCCCCCCTATTCCTCTCGCTGCCGCGCATTGTTACGCGGCGACTCTTTGAGAGATTCCGCGGATTTGCCGTCGAGGGCACTCGATTCGGCTCTCCTTTCATCGGGGAAATATTAATTAACCGCGGAATGTATACGCGGAGCACTGTTTTCGCTGTGCCGTTGGAACCGCGGGGACGTCGCCTCGATGCATTTCTCTCCGATATTTAATTCGTCGATCGGAACGGTGTTGGTCGATTGACGTTGTTCGATGTTTCGCGTTCCACAGTATTCGATGTCAGGAAAGTCCTGGGTCCTGCCACAGAGCTCGTCGGAGTACAATATGAGCACGGGAGGGGCCGGAGGGGTGACCGGACCTGGTGGCAGATGGGTGGCCGGCAGCGTGCCCGCCTCCGCGTCCCTCTACTCGATGGCCAGCGGCTCATCCTCTATTTCTGGTCAGTGGTAATCCTGAATAATTCTCCGGAACAGAACGAAAATCGTTTACACGTTGCGAAATTAATACTTAATCGAGCTCTTCGAGAAACTATTTCGGTCCGCGCTCGCGTCTTCGGAACCGACGTCCGGATATTAATTCCAGAGAAACGAGACGAAACCTGGCAATCCGAAATTTTGCTCGCGTGTTCGAGGCAACGGCTGAAATTCGTGTAAACCGTTCCATCGAGAATCTTATAACGATAAAATGAACCGATATCTTCTTTATCCGCAGGAGTGTCTTCCGTATCATCATCGAGCTCGTCTTCGGCGTGTAGCACAGGAAGCTCGAACCTGGGCAAACCGACCAGGGTGAGGCAACCTTCCGGCGAGATCCTGAGACGCTCGCAGACGCAGTCGATGAAGATGAGGATTCAGGTCAGTCCTGGACGCGCGAACGGACCGGAGTACCGCGTTCCGTATTTAATATCGAGCCCGGGCTAACTCTGTCCGTTTTACGGACGTGTCGCAGGAGTACCAGGATCCTGTTCCTCAAGTTAACGAGGAGGAAGAGGCCATGAGGGAGAACCGGGAACGTAGATTGCCGCCGATCAAGGAATTCCAGAGGGACTTTCGCGCGGGAAAGGCCTCCACTAGGATACGGTAAATCGATCCTGCGTTTTATTTTATTCCCTGTGCTCCTCCGGAAGTATAAACATTCGCGAAACTCTAAGATCGTATCGCTATGAAGCGGACCAAACGTTCAGGCTTCGAACTACTTTACTTGGTCGAGGTTAAATAACAAATTCGGCCCTTCTTCTCTATGAGAAGTTTATGAAAAGAATACGAAAGTTTCGACTCTCGGGACTCGCACATCCTCGGCCTCCAGGCCAAGAATCCAGCCCAGAATCCACCGATCCTTGCACCAGTCCAAAAGTTCGGATCCAGAAGCACCGAACCTTAGTCTCCGCGCCAAGACCAGATCCGCCGAACAAGAAGTCACAGATCCAAACCCAGACTCGTTGAAAGTAGCCAGCAGAAGTCCGCAACGCGTGTCGTTACCGTTTTGGTTCGCAGATGCGCGCAGAAGATCGTGACTCAGCTGGAGACATCGCCGAGTCCCAGGGTGTTGACGAGCGTTGTCGGCGTGACGCCGACGTCCTCGACGACCACGAGATCGATGACGAAGAGGCCGCCGACGGCGCCGAAATCCTCGATCGTGGTGCAGGAGGTGCAGAGGTCGAAGAAGGAGAAGGAGCGGGAGAAGGAGCGGGAGAAAGCGGAGAAAGCACGGCAGAAGGAGGAGGAGAAGGCGGAGAAGAGCAGGCAGAAGGAGGCGAAGAAGCTGGCGAAGGAGGAGAAGAAGAGGGCCAAGAAGGAGGCGAAGGCGAGGCGGAAGGAGGCGGAGGAGGCCCTGATCAGGGAGGAAAAGTAGTCTTCTGTCGATTAGAAAGAGGCGTGCAACCTTATTATAGATGCGTTTCGTTGCGCGGCGAGAGATCAGGTGTTCGAAAAGCCTGGACGACGAAGCTCTCGACGAAGGATTTTCTCGACGCTCGCGAGAAGGACACCCGAGATCTTTCGGGACACCCGTTCAAGGCGCCGCGAACGATCCTCGAATCGAAACCGCGTCTTTTGTAAGTCACCGTAGCGTTTTCTTCCCGTGGCAAACATCGTTTCTTCGTAGCCTTCGAGACCCGCTGACGTCCCCCTCGACGTCGGGTCGAGGCCTCGTCTCCTCGACGAGACTCGATTGGTCGAGGTGGACGAGTTTATTCGACGAGCCCGTACCGTCTATTCGAGTCGACGAACTTCGATCGAACGGGTATTCTAGCCTGGGGCGGCGTTCTTTAGATTTTCACATTTTTTCATAGACGAACCACGCAAGTTTTTGCTATCGTACTTCGACGGACGTTTTTGTAGCAGTTTCGAGGAGGCGCGCGAATTTCTTAAAGAGATCGAACGTCGAAATTTATAGCTGGCTGTGAGCGATCGGAGAGATCGCGAGAAGACGAGGGTGGAAATTGGGGTTACTCGGACTTTGGGATTTTTTACCGTGAAACCGGCGAACGCTTTCGTTGTTGGATTTTTTTGGACGGGTGTCGGGAATGTACAGGAATTGTTCGATCCGCGGGAGAATGAACATCGAGCGAGAATCCTGTTTCAGACTTTCCGCTGTAGAACGAGAAACGATGTTGGCATAATTGTCGCAGTGGAAAGTATAGTAACAGGTGTGCACCGAAAGTGCTGGTGAAAAATATCGTGGCAGCCGATCGTTCGAACGAGGGGACAAGGGGTTGATTTTGCTAGCTTCTGGAGCTGGAATATCGACTTTCGAGTTCGAGAATCGACGGTGCCTGTTCGCGGCGCATCTTGAACATTCTCTGATCCCGGGAGGGCAGGGGTATAGCGAGCGTTCTAGCGTCGGTAGAAGAAGTATACCTAAGAAAACCTAGAAGCGGCCAAACTTAGCAACCCGTCATATCGAGTTATCGTGGACTAATAATTACTAATCGATAGGAAGACTCGAGAGCGTAGCGCTGCGTTGCTATTATTTGATTAATCGCGTAATCTCTACCACGAAGAGAAAAGAAACCAACCAACGTGAAACCATCGTCCCGAGCATCCACCGAACACCATATAGGACCCCGTGAAAACGAGAAAGACGATAAATTTCATTGGTCCCTTCTCATTGGTCCCGGAACGTTTCCGTTTTAGGGAGAGTTGACCGAACGCGGGACATCGTCGTTACTTTTTTACTAGCTCGTACGTCGTCCCCCCCTTCCCCTCCACCCATTGTGCGCCGGTTCGTCGGTGTGTCTGTCGTTTCAACGGTGAAGGAACGACGGCGATCCTTGAGTCCTATTTTTCAAGCTCTGCTTCACAGACAATATTCCGAGGACGTAGCTTGTCCCGCGCGAGCCGAGCTCTCGGCCGCTATGGATCCTCGCTTAGATCGCGATCGACGATCGTCTGTTCCTCCAGTCGACTCGAACTAGCCACATCCATCATCGATCCTACCTAACATCCTCCCTCATCGATCGTCGGACGATCGGGCGGAAACGAACGGAGTTCAACTTTTAATTGCTTACCCGACGACTCCGAGTCGGTCCAAGAAATCTCCGTTCGATCCTCGAATCGGAATCGCTTTTCTCATATCGATCCGAACGACTCGAGCGTTTCCGACGTGTCGAAAAAAAAATAAATACGACCACGTTTTCTGAGAAAATTGCAGGTGCGGTGCGTCGAAATCGGTCGACGCGTAAATTAATCGAAAGTACTGACAAGAACCTTGCGAGAACCTTTGGACCGTTGAAAATCCGCAGGATATATTTTTCGAACCTCGATCGAAGGCCCAGGCTCGACTCGTTCGGAGGAATTCCGGAGAAGCTTTCGCGTCTGTAAAAGTTTAGACGGAGACTTCTTTGACGGACCGTCGATTTTAACCGCGAACGTGTACATAAGTAGAGAGAAGCCGAAGTCGGTGTGACGGACAACTGCATTCGTTTTTTATAAGCGGACCGTTCCGACCCGGTCGCCGACGTCCGTGCAATCAGGAAACGGGTCTGCCGCGTTGCGCTCGGTGCAGGAAGAACTGGGAAAAGAATGAAACACGATGTTCCCCGGGAGATCGTAGGGTGGTTCCGCCGAATGGACAACGCGGCGACGTTTCTTTTCGCTTTCATCCCTCCCGGCGTCACGATCGATCCTCCTTCCATCGATTGATTTCACCCATCTCGATATACACATAGAGTTCGTTCCACTCGGGGAGCCAACGGAAGTACACCGGAGTTAGCCTAATCGGAGAGACTGCATCGCGGAACCGCAACGCGTATGTGTTTCCCTTTCGACGAAGATAAAAAAAAAACAGTTTTAAAGTCATAGTACAATACGATAGGTAAAATGACAATGCAGAGTTTCGAGTGCAGCGCGTGTCTCGTTACTGACCCCGTGATTTACCGTAGTTGCGTAGGGCGTTTCGCGAACCGATTCGTTTATATACCTTCTCTATATATCTAACTATCTATCTATCGCTCATCTCTCTCTCCTCTCTCTCTCTTTCTCTCTCTCTCTCTCTCTCTCTATCTCTTTTCTCTGTCTCCCTCTCTCGACGCTGCTCGAGACACTCGACTCACAGCAATCGACTACTTGCGAAGCTGTCGTTACTCTTGGGCAAAGCAGCGCAGATGAATCTCGAGAGCTGTTTTTCGTTGCTCGTTTCCTAGCTAATTAGGGCTCGTTCGGCGCTCGTTTCTGTATTCGAGACGTTGCTTCATCGATCCACGCTCGATTCGGTTCGATCCTCGATAGTTTAGTACTCCATTGTGACCCGTTTGCTACACGTTCCGCATTCATTTATTCTCCGGCTTCGCTGTCTCCCTTACCGACGCTCAGATTGTCCACAGAAATGGACAATTTGGGAGGAGACACGATTGTTCGAACCTCGCGACTCGTTTTTATAGTTGTTGACAATCGATAATCACAAAAAACGAGCAACAAGGCTCGTATCTTTTCTTCCAAAATTTATCCATTTTTGTGGACAACCTGAGCATCGGTAAGGGAGACATTATTGTACTCGTTTGTTACTCGCTCGTAACTGTATTTCATTCGTTCTCCTCTGTGCACGTTCCTTGCGCTCGAGCATTTTCTTCTTATCGATCATCTTCCTATAACCGTACGTTCTCCATTGTCTACTTATACGTTCTAGTTTTTCTTCTATTAAAAAAAAATCTTTGTTCTCTATTCACGCTGTCTACTCACGGGTGCTGTTTTTCCTGTTGCATTTTCAAGATCGTCTACGTGTTCCGCTGCGTTCGAATGAATTTTTCCTCGAAACTATCTGCTCTGCTTTGCCATCGAACGCATTCTCCCTNGATCCTCGAATCGGAATCGCTTTTCTCATATCGATCCGAACGACTCGAGCGTTTCCGACGTGTCGAAAAAAAAATAAATACGACCACGTTTTCTGAGAAAATTGCAGGTGCGGTGCGTCGAAATCGGTCGACGCGTAAATTAATCGAAAGTACTGACAAGAACCTTGCGAGAACCTTTGGACCGTTGAAAATCCGCAGGATATATTTTTCGAACCTCGATCGAAGGCCCAGGCTCGACTCGTTCGGAGGAATTCCGGAGAAGCTTTCGCGTCTGTAAAAGTTTAGACGGAGACTTCTTTGACGGACCGTCGATTTTAACCGCGAACGTGTACATAAGTAGAGAGAAGCCGAAGTCGGTGTGACGGACAACTGCATTCGTTTTTTATAAGCGGACCGTTCCGACCCGGTCGCCGACGTCCGTGCAATCAGGAAACGGGTCTGCCGCGTTGCGCTCGGTGCAGGAAGAACTGGGAAAAGAATGAAACACGATGTTCCCCGGGAGATCGTAGGGTGGTTCCGCCGAATGGACAACGCGGCGACGTTTCTTTTCGCTTTCATCCCTCCCGGCGTCACGATCGATCCTCCTTCCATCGATTGATTTCACCCATCTCGATATACACATAGAGTTCGTTCCACTCGGGGAGCCAACGGAAGTACACCGGAGTTAGCCTAATCGGAGAGACTGCATCGCGGAACCGCAACGCGTATGTGTTTCCCTTTCGACGAAGATAAAAAAAAAACAGTTTTAAAGTCATAGTACAATACGATAGGTAAAATGACAATGCAGAGTTTCGAGTGCAGCGCGTGTCTCGTTACTGACCCCGTGATTTACCGTAGTTGCGTAGGGCGTTTCGCGAACCGATTCGTTTATATACCTTCTCTATATATCTAACTATCTATCTATCGCTCATCTCTCTCTCCTCTCTCTCTCTTTCTCTCTCTCTCTCTCTCTCTCTATCTCTTTTCTCTGTCTCCCTCTCTCGACGCTGCTCGAGACACTCGACTCACAGCAATCGACTACTTGCGAAGCTGTCGTTACTCTTGGGCAAAGCAGCGCAGATGAATCTCGAGAGCTGTTTTTCGTTGCTCGTTTCCTAGCTAATTAGGGCTCGTTCGGCGCTCGTTTCTGTATTCGAGACGTTGCTTCATCGATCCACGCTCGATTCGGTTCGATCCTCGATAGTTTAGTACTCCATTGTGACCCGTTTGCTACACGTTCCGCATTCATTTATTCTCCGGCTTCGCTGTCTCCCTTACCGACGCTCAGATTGTCCACAGAAATGGACAATTTGGGAGGAGACACGATTGTTCGAACCTCGCGACTCGTTTTTATAGTTGTTGACAATCGATAATCACAAAAAACGAGCAACAAGGCTCGTATCTTTTCTTCCAAAATTTATCCATTTTTGTGGACAACCTGAGCATCGGTAAGGGAGACATTATTGTACTCGTTTGTTACTCGCTCGTAACTGTATTTCATTCGTTCTCCTCTGTGCACGTTCCTTGCGCTCGAGCATTTTCTTCTTATCGATCATCTTCCTATAACCGTACGTTCTCCATTGTCTACTTATACGTTCTAGTTTTTCTTCTATTAAAAAAAAATCTTTGTTCTCTATTCACGCTGTCTACTCACGGGTGCTGTTTTTCCTGTTGCATTTTCAAGATCGTCTACGTGTTCCGCTGCGTTCGAATGAATTTTTCCTCGAAACTATCTGCTCTGCTTTGCCATCGAACGCATTCTCCCTTTACCCGAGATACTGTTCAAGATACCGTGAGACCCCATGACTGGCCGAGTTAGTTCTATCTACACACATTTCTCCGTAAACCGTTGAAAACTCTATAGAGAGTTTTTTTAGAGTGAGTTTTCTTTTTTAGATATAGTAGAGACGGCTCTGTGGCAGAGGCTGGGACCTCGGCTCCGACAGCGTGGCACGCAAATGATCACGTTCACGAGAAGAACGGTAACTGGACTGTGGATGTTCGCACGAGTTCCCATTCTTCATTAATTATTTTATAAAATAGAAATCAATGAAAAAATCATACTTCATCAGCCAAGACGTTCGCGAAGCCGCGACAGAAACGTCGACGAAACATTCGTCAATCTTTCTATTTCGTTTCAGAAATCCGCGAACACCATGAACGTATAAATGCATAAATGTCCACGGTCTAGATGACCTGAAATCATGATCTCGCATAATGTTTCCAAAGACACAAGCAACTAGATGCTCGAAAACCCAGAGACCAATGTTTCTACTAAAAACCGTGCGCTAATTACCCATGTGTAGCAATTTCTAATAATTCATCGAGGCCGAGTCGAGGCCGCTTCTCCCACTCCCAGCGTTGATCACGCCCGTTGGGAGACCACGCCTAGGATTTCGAGACGGTAGAGAGAGGAACAGACTGCTGACAGAGCCGTTAGACCATAGAAATTTCGTTCGAACCAGTGATAGGGTCACGGTTGGCGACAAATGCGAGAGAAAACGCGTACAAGCGTATTAAATCTATGTATAGATATGCAATGGTCGCGCGAGCAAAGAGAGCTATTTAAAAAAGAAAAAGACGAAAGAAGGCGAAGAAGGGAAGAAAGCAATTGGCTCGAATATCACGAGTATACGATTAACGATTACGAGATTAGTCCGCGGCTAGACCTCTTTGAAACAGTTCACCCTCCGCCCGCATCCCCTCCCCAACCCCTCCTTTGCGTCCCCTTTTCTTCGATGCTTCGGTGCCGTGAGCGACGCTGGATAAAATAATACTCGGTAGAATTAATAATGTTTGATCGATATTTTATATTATTAGACGGAACCGGCGATACTTCGCCTCTTTTTTCGAGGAACGGTTTCCTTTTCGATCGGCGCGGATAATAAGCGCGGTGCCCGAGTAGCCAAAAATCAAAAGCAATTTTTTTACAGCGCGACCGACGACGAACTACGGCGACGACGACGGCGACGACGACCTTAGAAACCGTAAAACAAAATGGCGCGATATCAAAATGGAGAACTATGGACGAGGAACGGGAGTTGCTGCAGGCGCGAAACGTGACATCGCGAGGCGAGCATCGTTCGGCGAACGACAATCTCGTATACGGAGAGCTAAATTTCTCGTTTCCCTTTCCCCGTTGATCGCGTTTACGTTCATTCCGTCGCTGCCCTACCTCCTTTGACGACCCCTTCACCACGCTCTCGCCCCGTGCGTCTGTTACTTCGAACGTTACCGCCTTTTGCCATCCTTGAACTTGACCTAATTTACGCACTGCCGCTAACTTTATTTTTTATTCGAAGATACGAAGGGAGAGTTACGTCATCGAAGGGCGTCGCGTTTCCTCGCGGGCGATCCCTCGTTAGCAGCCAATCGAGATTCGCGACCCACCATCGGTAATTGTCGCCCGGCGAGATTCTAACGAGGGCACGCTCCAAGTACCCAGCGGTCTGCGGTCCTGCTTCGCGCGATCGTTATCGACGCAGGAGACGTTCCGTTCGAACATTCCAACGGAGTAACTGTCGCTTGAATATTCGAGCGTATTCTCGAAGTCTCTTGGGAGATCTGGACAAAGTGATTATCAGGGTCGAGCAACAATTTGCTTCTTTCGACAGAGATCAGAAAATAAAGCAGCCGGTGTCCCAAGTTTCGTTGAAAAGTTCCATCGAATGTTCAAGATCGGGAATAAATTGTCGCGAGAGGATGTAGTTGGTATTTTGGCGAAGCATGGCTGTCGGACGGCGGAAGGTCTCTTCAAGTTCTCAGGCCTGTCGCGCCGCCATTTTCCGAGGACCCGTTTGCGGGGGTGGACGCTTCGATCGGACGGAACGCGACGAAGGAACTCGACAGGCGATCTCTGTCGTGTCCGAGGAGAGCCATCGCGCACATATCAGTAGCGATTAGTACGTTTTAATTAGCGTCGTCGCCTGAACTTGGTCCTCGCGGGACGATCGCGCCGAGAAGAAGCGGATTCTCGATCCCCCGATGGGATCGAGCGCGAGATCCGCGGCGGCGGCGACGACGACGACGAAGTTCAACCAACGATGCTGCCAATTAGCGAGTAATGTAGACTGTCAATTATTACCTGTTACATCAGTTTCATCTGTAACGAGTTCTCGGCGTTGTCGGCGTTTCGCGAGATCGGCGATCTTCGATGAACACTCGACGGAGAGAGTTTACGATTGTTTCGATAACGACAAAACAGAAAAACGAAGAATAATAATAAAACTACGATATACTGCATTACCATTGCATTCTCGACTTGTTCTGTCATCGTGCGAACACCGCGTTTTAGTAGCGAGAATCTGCGAAACATCTGCCTACTTGTACAGAGAATCAAGGAGAACGAGCTCGCGCGAAGAGGTTTCAGGCGCCTACGGACTTAGTCGACGGGGTGGTGTTCCGTGCTCGTTTCCGCCATGGAGACCCCCATGAAACGTCGAGAGAAGCTTCGAGCTGCCACAGGGTTTCCAATCGACCACGGTGACTCGCGGATCGTTGTTCGAACGAAACCGTAAGCGCGATCGTCGAACGAATTTGTTTGCACGCGTTCGTTCGAGTAGGATCGTACCGTCGGTCGTACGAGTTTACACAAGACTGCTTTCGATTTTTTGGCTGTATTTGTATCTCATTATATTTATTTCCGACGAATCCGCAAAATCGCTCGATCGAGACCGGCGCACCTGAGACGCGGGATCTGTAAATCATTTTTCTAGGTTGCCATTAACGCGGATCGACGAGTCACCGTGGATCAGAGCGTTCCGTAACCGAGCGCGAGGAGAGTTTTGCCGAACGGAGGATAGCTCGCCGAGAGCGTTTAGGGTGCGGGAAAGATGTCGAGTCGATTCTACGGCGTGTGTACTGGTGCGGATGGCCGGGAGAACTCGGCGAGAAGAGGGAAGGAAGAGCGGGTTGAGAAGGAAACGACAGGATTGTTCGGCGTCTCGTTTCGAGGCGTTCACGGCCGATGTAACTACCATTATCGCGGCCTGACAGCGAGGAACTGGCCGCGCAAGGTCTGCGTTCTGTTTAGCACACTTCCAATAGACTACCACGACCTACCGCAACTCTCGTCTCGTGCCATACGGCCGTGTGACACGCGCGGTGCACCGGCGAAGCCGCGTGTCCACTTCGGAGTCGCTTATCCGCCGCGATAATTGCTTTGTCCAGCAACTGCGACTATCTCGCATCGCTGTCCAGAAATGCCGAGGTTATTTCTGTTCGGTCGAATTCGAAGATTCGTTCCTATCGCGTCGCGACACGCGTCCGATCAAATTAATTACCGAATAAATTCTGCAGACTGTCGGAGGTGGAAATCGGCCACTGCCAAAACATGCCACGTTCCCGGATTTTTTTTCAGAGATAACGACCGAATGGAAGACTCTAACTTGTTCGAGATATCAAAATGCGACTCTTAGCTTCGTGTTAGAATTTTTGTTTGACACCCAGCAGCACGTTGGAAGTCCAAGTACGTGCGTCGTTCGAAGCGTACACGCGGCTAAAGGCGACGGACAGCGTTTGAAGCGCTACAGGCGGACTCCGGCGGCGAATTTCTCGCGACCTGGTTATAGTTTGCGCTTCCGGATGTTATTTGTGTCTGTGGGCAACGCTACGACCGCGTCCCGATGGCTCGCGGTTGGCGTCATCGGGGTTTAACGATGAGAACCGACACGTTGGCGTCTATGGCACCAGGTGTCTGACCAGTCAGGGATATTCTACTTCTTCACCAGGTCAGTTAAAAATAGGGAAACGGTCGGAAATTGGTCGGAATAGTTTCCTTTGAACGACGGACGACGCTTTAGAAGGTGTGCTGTGTCTGTTAGGCGAACTGTAAAGCGACAATTCAGGTGAACAAACCTTGAAACCCTCCGATCAATTCGTCTCGCGTTGGAAAGAGAAAAATAGTCCCTATGGCAGCAAGGCTTTTCACAGTTCCGAATTTATCAATGAAGCATCTATTTGGTTTCTTGTACGACTCAAAGTGGAACTATAATTGAAAGGAGCATAATCGAGAGGGAGAAATAAAAAATTGAAAGATTTCGTTATTCTGTTCAGAGTTCAGAGCTCGCTGCAGCTTTCTCGATTTTGAGAAGTTTAGAGCGTTTCCGCAGGATGTTGCATGGAAGATTGGCAATTTTTCGAACGAGGGAAACCGACGAGGACGTAATTTGCACCGGAAGTGGCGGACAGGTAGCGGTGGTCGCGCGAAAACGGAGGAGTGTGCTGAAAAGCTCGGGCGATTCGGCGGAGAGGTTCGTCGCCGATGGGACGCGTATAAAACACGGTGAACTGTTGGCTATAATGCGCGACTTAGGCGACAAGAGTGTGAGTAGCTGAAGCGGGAGAACGATCGAGCGGCGTCTGTAATCGATACGGCGTGTTATATCGCGTGTATCGTGCGACGGAGGACAACTTTATTGTACTTTTATCGTGTAAGAGAGATTTGTAGAGAGTTTATAATTAGGCCAATTGTCACAGCGAGAGTTCTATGATAGCGATGTTTTTTTTCCTAAACTAAGGGCCGCGGCCGACTGTTCGATCTGCTCGGACCTCCTCCAAAATCCGGCTTGCTTTCTCTCGCTGCGAAGAAGACGATCGCGATCGATCGGAACAGTTGTCCGAACTTGTACTTTCGTTTACAATAATTCTTCCATTCGAACGGAGAGACAAGAAGTTGAAAACGAAACGACGATCCTAATCCAGCAAAACAGCCGATTCGCTCAGATTTTCATTCGCTCGGGACCGATCAGGATTTCATTTTTATTCTCCCATTTTTCTGATCGACGACGATGACTCGACGAACGCCGAAGGGTGAGCCGATCCAACGCGAAGCACCGATCGCTTCTTCGATGGGTCAACTCGATCGGCTCGTCCCGCCACGAATAATGGAGAAAAAAGTGGGAAAACCATGGAACGGACGTCGGAACCGTGATCGATCGAGGAGATTAGGGTTCGAGGAGCGAGTTCGGTTGGCCGCGGCAGCAGACACGAGAGATCGTGTCGCGTTCCAGCGTAATACTCGCGTAACGATTGCCGTGGTGACGATGATGATGATGTGAGTTCAACGTTTGTACGATCGTTTGAGGAGCCTCGGGTGCTGTCGAAGAGCATGCTCTTACTTAGTTGCGCACGATCAAATTCGTCGTAGCGAGGTACGTACCCTCCAGACGTTCGCCGGAACTTGGAACCATGCTGACGCCTAATATTTTTTTAAACGAACGAACTCGACGCTTTCGTTGGTAGACGGTAGTCGAAAGTCGAATTTTGGCCAAAGAACGACGGCGATGGTCTTCAAAGGATCGCGCGGTAGGGTGTCGCGTGCGCGAGAATCAAAATTTACCATCGACGTTGTCGACGGATCGAAAGGGATCGGAAGTCGATCGGAAGACGCGATCGTCGCGAATCCTTTGAGGAACACGGTGTCGACGGAACCGCGGGGAGTCGGAACGAAAGAAAATCGGAGAAACGAGGAACGTTCCTCCTGGGTTTTCTGCTTGGGACGCGCGAGCGAGACAGCGACGACCAGACGAGCGTGGAAAGGACTTGAACGGTTGATTTTATCGAGTCTATTTTTAGTAGTTTTGTTTAAAAACGTGTCGAACAAACGAGAGGAGGAGAGACAATTCTTCTACGAAAATTGTATTACGCGATGTGTTACGATCTGTACGAACAGACAGTGAATATGAACAAAAATCAAATAAAACGTTACAATGAATGTTAGACGAACACGTACGATACCTTCGCCACGCCCCGACGCTCTCTGCTCCGCCAGAAAATATTTTCGTGCATCGAACAACCGGGATCTTCGCTCGTCGATTCGTTCGTTTTCAAGAGAATAGACGAGATTAGGTCACGCCCGTTTGCTTCGCTGTACACGGCTCAATGTCCAATCTCCTAAAACCTGTTTCCACGTCGCTCAAACGCTTAGAATTTTACTCGAACTGTATTCTTTCCCAGCGTTTCCATCCCTCGATATCCCGAAAATACGAACGATTAGGCCACGCCCATTAGTTTCACTAGTTCCCGAATATTTATTACAATATTTTCGCGTTCGATAGAACAGGAATCTTTTTGTTCGGAAACAATTTCCCTGCTCGGATTTTGTTTTTCCGTTTCCGTGACAATATAGACGACCAGACCCAGCCCATTCGATCCAACTCGGTTGGTATCTCCGAGGAAACCTAGCTTATCAACGCAACTCGGCAGACAGTAGAGAGCGTGATTAGTCTATATCAGTATTTGTCGGCGCAAGACGATTCCTTTCAGTCGTGCACTAATCGAGCGGTAATCAACGTCGTCGTGGCGATCAGGATCCAGCGGATATAGCGCACGAAACATTTTGAAAAAAAGATGAAGTCGGACGTCCTGCGAGTTATCCTCGTTTTCCTTGGAGCAGCTAACGCTATCGAAGGTATACCTAATTCATAGAATCGCGCGTATCGCGTCGTCGTCCAGCTTAGATTTGTCGCATCGATATCGGATATCTTTCGCGAACATCAGCTCGTTGCCAAATCGAATCGTCCAACATCGTTGCTCCGATTTCAAAGCCTGTTCCACTCGTTCGATCGTTAGAATCTAACAACGCGGCCACCTGCGACGATCGATGCCAATCAACGATCTCGGACGATAATGCAGACGTGGTCGATCATTCGCTCGACACGTGGCCGTCGCTTCCCGACGATTCCATCCGGTTCGAATGAAATTATCGAGAGGCGATGCTCGGCTGCACCTGAAGACAGGCCGCTTCTGTGCTCCGTCTGCCGCTTCGCTGATACAGAAACTGTCTGGCCACTTTTTTATCTCCAGTCATTTCCATACGCTCCATTTGCTTATCGTTAGATTGCGAGGACTCGAGCAAATCCGTAATTTCACGCCGGGATTTATGAGAAAGATAACCGAGCGGGCATTTTATGCTCCGCGGTGTTTTATTCTTCGCGGCGCAGATCTTATCTTCATGGAAAATATTTGCGTAGTGTCACGTTTTATCAAGCTTGCCATGTGTCGCGAAGGTGTTCGCGAATCACTGACTAATGGGTTTTACGTGTCCGCGCGATCGGCGAACCGCAGAGTTGTAATTCGCAGGCTGCGAATGCAGATCTTGCGAATCGTTCGCCAAAATGCAACGGAAATGAATTTGAGGGTCTCTGGTTTTTTTACAATTATTAAGAGAAGGAATCGATTTCCATTCGACTCCGGTACAATTTTTGTTTCGGCCGAAGATCCCCGGAGCTAGCGATAATTATTAGCGAACGAGCACAGCTAATTCGGACGTCTTCGTTACGCAGACTCTAGACACTGGCGTAAATTAGCCATGGACGAGCTGGAGGAGGCTCTGTCTTACAAGTGGAACACGAACCGTGCGAAAAACGTGATCCTGTTCGTGGGCGATGGGATGAGCCCTGACACCATCACCGCCAGCAGGATCTACAGGGCGGGCGAGACGAGCCACCTCGCTTGGGAAAAGTTTCCTCATATCGGACTGCTAAAGGTTCCAGATTTCCGTATTTTCTCAGCTCGGATACTCCTTCGTCCATCACGCTTTCGATTACACATTTATAATCTCCAAAGTCTGCTAGATCCAACGATATATTTCATTTGAAACGCGCTCACGCGACTCTAACGAAGAAAATGAATATTACTATCGATTCCTAAACTTTACCAAATGAAAATTTTCCAATTTATTTAAACTGCCTGGATATCTGCTACTGTCAAAAATATTAAAAATATACATCGAACGACGCAGACTTACAACACGAACAAACAAGTGCCGGATTCAGCGTCGACGGCCACAGCGATGTTCGGCGGCGTGAAGACAAATTACGAGGTGGTCGGCGTCGACTCGAATGTACCGCTTGGCGATTGTGCAGCGTCCATGAATGCCAGCTATCACGTGGAATCGATCGTGTCGTGGGCTCAGAAGGCCGGCAAATCCACAGGTCAGCGATCGAGACACCGACCCGAGGTACAACGGAACCCTCCATTGACCCTTGACACGCTGTTTACAGGATTCGTCACGACCACCAGGGTCACCCACGCCACCCCGGCACCATTGTACGCGCACACCGCCGACAGGAGATGGGAATGCGAGTCCAAGATACCGAAAGCTGCGTCGAAGTGCAAGGATATCGCCAGACAGCTTGTCGAAGACCTTCCTGGCAGGAATATCCAGGCAAGGATTTCTCTTTTTACAGTTTTCCTGCCGTTTCTCTTTTTCAGGGTATTTTTACTTTGCATTCGCGTCGTCTCGTTCACTCTGGCCACCCTATAGATCTGTTCTTCTAGATAAAGGCATCGTAAAATAGCGAGTAAATTGCGTACTTTTTTGCATTTGTGTTAATTAGTGTTACTAGACAAACGCATTTCCGCAAAATGCGTTAAAAGAAAAATAGTTCATCGGCTCGAAAGAACCTGGATCAATTTTGTATATTTCTTTTCCCTGGGTAGGTGATCATGGGAGGCGGCAGACAGGTGCTGAAGACCAACGCGACGAGCACAGAATTCGATCCGATAGACACGTGGGCCGGTTCCCGGCAAGATGGCCGGGACCTGATCGAAGAATGGCGGAAGGAGAAGACCGCGAGAAATGTGCCCTTCGCCGTTGTCCAGAACAACGAAGAGCTCTTCAAATTGAACACCGACAAAGTGGACTACGTGTTGGGTATCTTCGCGAATGGTCACATCAGTATGGACTGGAAGAGGGAGAAGGGTCCCAAGGGTCAGCCGAGTCTGGAGGAGATGACTGTAGCTGCTCTGAAGATCCTACGGAGATCGAAGAAGGGTTACTTGCTAGTGGTATTGATCCCGGATCGAGATTATCGGAAGAAATAATTCTTTCCGATGATGTGCATCGAGCGCTGTTTCCAGGTGGAGGGAGGATTGATCGATTTTGCTCACCATAGAGGACACGCGGCGCAGGCCTTGCTGGAGACCGTTAGGTTCTCCGACGCGATCGATGCGACCATGAAGATGATCGACACGAAGGAGACGTTGGTCGTCGTGACCAGCGATCATAGTCACTCTATGAGCTTCAACGGATACAGCAACAGGGGCAACAACATTCTAGGTACATTTCTTCCTCTAACGGTACGCTAAGATTGCTATTTAACTGGAGGAATTGTGCTGAAGCAGCTGTCGAGAATCGCTCGGCCTGGATTTATGGGTAGGGGGCTTATGGGGGTTTTACGATCGAGTTAAGCTTGCCGGACCATCCTAAACGTCCTATCGTTGGGACTAGCGAATTGTGAATCATCGCAGTTCTTAGTCAACATCGTGTAGGCAATTTATCTTTGGACGGTGACCCTTTTTGGCCAATACCCGCTATAAATATCGTGAGGGTAGCGGACAGCTCATTAACGACGGGCCCCGGACGGTTAGAAAATGACCGGTAGATAGGATTTTCCTCGATGGAAAGGCCCGTTAGGGTAGCTCGCAAACGGACGCGAATGACCTGGCTCTCTATAGATAAATAACTATTATTACCTTATTACTCGAGGCCTCTTCGCAAATTCTTCATTTCTGTTTACAAGCTGAGGGACAATCGGATAGAATTTCCTGTTCTACGGTGAACGTACAGGATAAGAGACACCACGAGTCATAAAAATCCGTAAACTAACTGCATCAACAATTTCAGGAATCGCTCAAAGGTCGAGAACCGACGGAATACCCTACACAACGCTGACTTACAGCACCGGAGGGCCGAACAACGCGGCCTATATCGTGAAAAAAAACAACGAGACAGTCAGGTCAGATCCTTCGGCGCAAGACACTACCAGCTTTAATTACAGTCAGCAGGCCGGTATCCTAACGGACGAGGCCTATCACGGAGGCAGTGACGTAGCCGTGTACGCGACAGGTGGGTCGACTCGCGAGAAGATTCTTCAACCTAGCACAACCGCTGCGATAATCATTGTTATCGAATTTTCATGGCGCAGGTCCGATGGCACATCTGTTCCACAGCGTGCACGAGCAGAGTTACGTTGCCCGGGTCGTGATGCATGCGGCCGGCATCAGCAGCGGTGGAAAAATCGGTTCCGGCATTTTGCTGTTCGTCCTTGTCCAGTATAGTCTGTTCCTGGCGACTTAGCTAAGTATTGGTTAACGAGAAACCGTCACGTGGCATCTTGAGAGACGAATTTTTATGTCGACCCGATCGTTCGTTGCGCTATTTATAGGATTCGTTTATCGATAGTTATGCGTTAGGATGATCGAGGTTAAATTAGAATGTTAGGAGTTAGTTTCGGGTAGGCGAGATCGGTGCTTGTTAGTTTAAATCAATTAGGAAGAGGTCTTTATCTATTTTCAGGGACTTTATCCTGGGGATATTTTTGTGGAACATTTTTATACTCGTAAGATCTATGGATCGCAGGCGGTTATGTCTACGGGCGTTCGTTGCGCTATTTATAGGATTCGTTTATCGATAGTTATGCATTAGGATGATCGAGGATATGTAAGCAATTAGTTTCGGCTAGGCGAGATTGGTGCTTGTTAGTTTAAAGCGATTAGGATGAGGTCGTTATCTATTTCGAGGGACTTTATCCTCGGGAAACTGGAGATATTTTTGTGGAACACTTTTATACTCGTAAGATTTATGGATCGCAGGCGATTATGTCTGCGGGCGTGCAGAATTCATTACACCGTGAGCTCCGTTCTGTAATTAACGTATATTTAAAAAAAAAAAGAAACGGTTGGCGACGTTACACACATGTATCCTTAACGTACTTAAGTAAGTGGAGCACCGAGTGGCCATTGAAAATACACTCGGCTCCACTACATCACAGATTAGCCTAACTCGCCCGACGGACGCACCAAGTCTGTCTCACAAATGGCGCTCGAAGAGGACTCTGTGCCTGTGTTTTGTGTCTTTGTATACGTGTCTGCACGCGTGTGCGTGCACGTAAGTGCATGTTTCTCGGTGTACATGCGCGTGAGCGTGTGAAGATGATGCACATAGAGAGAGAAATGATCGTCTCCCCTCGTGTCTCGTATACCTAACACGAATATTACAATATTTTACGTAGACGCGTCTTTCGTCCATATACGCGCGGGTTTCGATCTTTCACTCGTTCCCTATCATTATGTACAAAAAAAAAACATAAAGAAAAACAAGTTTAAAACGAATTCTCAGTCTTCTGCTGCAGAGGATACGATGCGAGATAGCGATCCCTCGTTCGGGCAACTTCCGAAAGTCGCGACACCCTTTGTACTCTTGTAATTCTCGCGGAATTACAGCGGAGGAGACCCGACGAGAACGGAAAACGAAACGCAAGGAAATCCGGCGAACTGCCAACAGCTCCGAGAAGTTGGTAGCCGGTCGATTTTCAATCGCACGTGTCGCGACGAACGATTCGGTGTACCTTGTTCTCCTGTCCAAAAATCTTGTGCATCATAAATTATATATTGTGAATATAAATATGATACATGTACACGCGAATTTCTCCCCGATACTGCGCCGCTAAAAAAATGCTTGAATTCTTCTCGAGTTCGGGTTTCATCGGTGCGAAAACTGCAGTCAGCGTTTCGTCCTACGCTCTTTCGTTCATTTTTCAAATTCTGTCAGTCAAAACGTTAAGGTCAGAGTCAAGGTACGCCGACACGTTCGCCAGCAAGCTTCATCAGAAATGAATCGGTATATCATACTTAAGATTATTATCGAGTACGAGGAAAAATATGTTCAGCGACCTGTACAGTGGGTTGTTCGTTCGAGGCGCGGTGCAAGTAAAACAATGCATTCTCCGCTGTTGTTAATCCATTCAGAAAAGTTTCAGTCAAATTCAGCCATTTCGTACGTATTCATGCCAATTCCGGATCAGGGAATATTTCCACGGCGAGACCATTCTATCGAAAACGAACAGCTGAATCTGGCTAAGAAAGATTTGTGCGCACGCTCGGCGATAAACGCGCACTAATCACGGCGAACAATAAATTGGATCACTTGCGATATACATCTAAAAATAATTGCCGGAAATGTAATCGATTCGTGAGAGCCGACTACCACCTTCCCCGCTGCGAACAGCGCGTCCGCTCGCAATCGCTCACCGATCCTCTAAGGGGTACGGTCGCGTTGGGGTCAGAAGCTCTAACCCCCATCGTTAGCGTACCCGCGACGCCGCACGGTTCGCACAAGAGAACAACGAAGGAAAATCGGAAAGAGGAACGAACGGGGACCAGGCGGGCCCGGCATACGCTGACTACGAAGCTGGTAACACCGATAAAATGATCGTTCGAGAGCGTCGAAGCGGTGAACGAAGCCGGAAAGAACAGCAGCCTGGTCCGCCCGGTGGAGAGCCGAATGGATCGTTGTGGGAGATGAGAATGGGCATATGGGCATGGACGTGGACATGAGCATGGAATGTACGCGAGCTAACACGATCATAGCACTTTGTTCTTCTGGCGTCTGGCCGGCCGTGGCACGGTCTCGTGGAAGAAGACCTTGAGGGAGATGCAGCCGAGAAAGAGGAGCGCGGAGGTCAGGAACATGAAGCCCGGCGTGCATTTCGCGATCTCCATGAGGCCCAGCAGGCCCACCAACTGCAAGAAAAGCAGCAACGGGGCCAGGTAGACCGCCAGGGTCAGGTAGAGCGGCGTCTGCTTGCGCTTTCGTCGTGGTATGCTGTCGAATTTCACCGCGAGCCTGCAAGCGTCGAGCTCCGACCTCGGTCCCTCCGGCTCCTGGCTTGTCCTGAGCTCCTTCGAGGTCTGGATCTCTTGGAGCAAGGTTTGCCGGAACTGCTCGTACAGGCAGAGCAGCCTGGCCGTCACCACCTGCAGCAGCTGGTCGAAGCAGAGGTGCACTTTGCGGGCGATCGGGTGCGACTTCGAGTTGTCGAACGAGTACAACAGATACGGCAACAGGTTCAAATTCTGGCAGCAATGCCGGATCTTCTGCATCGACGCGTGTCTGGACAGCAACGGCGCGGGCGGCCCGCTGTAGTTGTCGTCTGTGGAGTTCGGAACGTTTCTTCTCTTAGTTTCGAGAGCTCGCACATTATCGGGGTTAGCTACGCAGAGGTCGCCGGGTTATCGGACTCTCTTACCTTTCACCATGTTGAACATCCGGCGCACGAGTGCCTGCTTCCCGACGACGGCCTCGGGCTCCATTGTTCCGGACACGTTCGACATCCTGACCGTTGCGGGAGGTTCGACTGCCTTGGGCGACGAGAAACTCGTTCTCCTGGTAACTCTGAACTTGACCGTGGGTGATCGATCGGGGGACGGTGGCTATTGGCGATTCCTTCTGGAAATTAATTTTTCGTGTTAGATCCGTTGCTGTTGGTCGGACAACAGAATGTGCTAAGAATATTGTATTTCTGGTTATCGCTGGCAGCGATGGATTTTTATCAAATAATTTCTTTGCTTTGCTAGATCTGTTGGTATAATTTATATATAATTGTAATAAAAATAATCGTTAAATCAAGATGGATACCGATGGATCCAACTTTAAAGCAACCCTAGACAGCCTAAGACACCACCATCGATAAATCAATCTTTTCCTCGGTGAATTTACTCTCGATAATTGATCTCGATTTGTTCACCAGTTATCGCTCCTATTCTCTATTAAACTAACTCCTGCATCGTTCCAAAATGAAACGTGGTCCTCGAACAGTGATCTCAAAATCAATCTCGATCTACCTCGAACCATCGAAAAATATTCTAACAATAAGAACGTATCCACAGACTTCGCGAGTGTTTCGAAACGCTGAACCAGAAGAGCCTGGCGTTGCTACAACCACGATCCAGCAGACATACCTAAACGTGGACGGAGCCATCGACGATATCCCGAGGATCACGAGGAAACGTTTCGACCAGCACTGAACACAGACCTTCGACTTTTGCGTTGCCGAAGCTGCACAATAAAAAAGAACCGCAAAGTGACCGGTGATAGCCCTGCTGACCCGAGATTGCAACTTCAACAGCAATTTCAATCCAATCTCAGCAACGAATCGCGTTTTCTCGAAGCGTCGAAGTTGTCCCGACTATCGACCGCTAATCAATCGACTCCTAGATCCCGGCAGATCGGACCGACGAACAGAGCTGGTTCACAATCGACGAAGCCTTCCAGAAAATAGTTCACCGATGTACGAGCACTCGCGAACCGTTAACGACGAGCTCCAGATGCTAGAGCAGCCTAGGAACAACGTTGGCCAATCGAGAGATCGCGAACGAGCGGAGACTGCGACCGTTTCGCAACGACACCAGCTTTATGACACACTCGAGGACCGGTTCGGCTGATCGTAATATACTCTGCGTCCCGTGCCCCTTCTTATCGTCGCGAATTAGTCGATGTAGCCGCCGCGCCGCGCGGCGGAGGAGGCAACCATGTGCGCGCATCAGCTGGAACAGGAATAGCAAACTTCCTGGGAACCTTGCTCTCTTCGTCGTGTTCTTCATCGTCGACTCGGTACCAGAGACCGGTCGCTAAAAACCCGAAACAGGGCTCTTCTGCCTTATCCGATCGACGGCCTCCTCTGCGGCCAGGTCGCCCGGCAATTAATGCCGTTTAAGGGCGCGCGAGTTTGTGGAAACACCGGCAGAAAGAAGACTCGTTCGCCGTCTAGCCCCTCGGACTACTAACTCGGTGATCGTCGAGTGCACCGCTGTATTTGGCGAAGCTTCTTTTCGGTATCGTGGTACTTGCGATCTGCTGGATCCTGGAGTTTATAGAGCAGGGAGGTTTTTTTGGACCACCGGAGCGAGTTTCTTCGATCGTTGGTCTTTATCGGTTCTTGGGATGGACGCGCGAGAGCGTCGGTATATCGTCGAGAACAGGTGCTAAGCGATTTTTAAGTTTATGACGTAGCAAAGGAAACTTCGATTTTTCTAGAAGTTTATAGTCTTCTCATTTTTTTGGATCTGTTGCACGATGAGATCGTGAAAGGGACGGATATTATAGAGCAGCAAATGGGAGAGAACTTGGAGCATTTAACAATTGGAGATGGAAAATTATGAAGATCGTTCTATGAAATATAGAAGGGAACAGTGAGTCTTTTTATAAGTGAACTATTGGTTTCTATTAATTTTGTGGTAGCTAAAATGGAGACAATTACGCGAGCTGGGTCGCTAAAATTCGATCGATCGATTATAGTCGTTACATAATGCGGCAGACCTTTGACCCTAGGTTATACCAAATCGATCTCCAAGCTGTTCTTTTCCTACGATCTTCGATTCGTCGACGAGACCATCGCGAGATCGTGTTTTAATAATAATAATAATTACTCGTAGATATATCGAGCATTGCTATAATAACGGAATACGTATGTATAATTGTTTAGTACGATCGTTTCCTTTGTTCTGAATGAACCTATCTTTCGTTCATTTTAATAAAGCCGTCAATCAGCTTATTTTTCAATAACAACTACAATATTATTTTTGTCTTCGACCCTCGTTTATACTGAATGAATCGTTCGATTTTTCTCTTTTTCATTATTTGATCTTGCTACAAAATAGCCGATTATCTTTTGTTTAAATAACAATGATTATTAAACATATATTGGAAGGAGGGAACACAGATTATTCAATAAAACGATTACTCCAAGAAATTACGCAATCGAACGTTGTATTTCATTTATTCGCTGCGCAAAGAGCTCGCGGCTCGAAGAGAGCAATTAAAATTCGACGCTCGAACGGAATTCCGAATATCACTTTTGATCACCAAAATCACCGTTTCCGAAAAAAACGAACTACTACGCGTTTATCCTGGAGAAAAGATGAATATTTATATAACGTTATGAATCACTCATGAATTACAAATCGGTTCCAATCCTTTCGCATTTCTTCGAAAAGAAAACTGGTAACACGAATTACCCATCGATTATGGGTAATCGAGCACATGGGTAAAAGCAGCACAAACGCTTGTATTAATTGCCTGAGTACCCTCGCTTCATTACAAGGGGTCATTATCGAGGGTCTTTTATGAGAAACGTTAAACCACTATTTTAGTTGCAAAAGGAAATATTCGCAATATTCCGAACGATGACAATCGTCTATAAACGATAAGCTTGGTCTGACGATTAGTGGAAGTTACGATCTTTTCTCTACTCGATCGCTAGAACAGAATTAAATCAGTAAAATGCCGGTAACGATGATTCGCGTTCCTCGAGGCTCTAATAGAACTCTTAATTGATCGGAGAACTTCCGAAACTCCAACTATATACATATCATTCCGCAAACAAATATCCCGATTTCAACCATCAAGCATCGAACCATAAACATAATAAACTCATGTCATTCTGGTCGAAAACAAACAAGCACCGAGCCAAAGTTCCAAAAACAAAATTCACGCATCCAGAGGACAAAGTTCGCCGTGGCGTCGAACTTATGCTAATCAACCGAGGTATCGCAACCGCGAACGAATGCAATCGTCGTTCATCATGGACATTCTGGGATTCCCAATTACACCATGACAGGACCAAATCTATCGGTGAATTTCAATTTAAACCTTTAAAGAATTGCTGCGCCTTTGGTTCGTTCTCGGGCATAATTAATTTCATACTTATCTAATGAGTCATATTCGATACTTATTTATTATTTCATTTTGTTCATTTCTGAATAAAAAAAAAATGTAATATGTCTTATTCGATATATACGAATCGAATTATGCCCGAAAACAAACGAAAGGCGTAGCAATAATCGACCAGCCCACAGTAACCGACTCACAACCCTAAGCAAACACGAAATATTGAAAATATCAAGATCGAATTGTTGTTCGCGATTCCGCAGCGTTACCACCAGATCACTTGTCGGTAGCTGCTCGATCGAGGAACGACCGGGAAAACACGGCGAGGGCTTTGCCCCGCACCCCAAACGCGCGCACCGCGCCGCGTCGGTCAATTACGAGGGCGGAAGCGCCGCGACCCCCCGTTAAGAGATCAATCATAGGGACGTTCGCCGAAAGATTGATCTCTGGAACGTTCTCGAACGTGGACTTACCAATGCGTAACTCTGCGAGGGATTCCGCGAACAATTGGCCACGCAAAATCCAGCGAACAACCGGCGAACCGCTTTCGTCCCGACGATGTGCGACCTCTTCCACTGGCCTAACTATACTTCTTGTAGAGGTTGAACACGATAGGAAACTCGCGGAAAATGCCCATACTTCGGGGAGATACGATGGACCGTGTCGCAGAGCTGACTAGGTGGCCTGAGACTGGCTTCGAGGGCTGCGAATGAACGACGAGCTGGTTCGATCGAACGCTAAACAACGACTGAGCCCGGCACTGCGGCGTTCCACGCTCCAAGCAGCTCGAGTGGCGACCTCGCAACTGCAGCCGAGAACCTAACCGCAGCTAGTCCATTGGTCCCTCGTAGGACCTAACCGAGTCCATTGGCCGATGGACCTCGGCTCCAAGGGTAGCCAGCCAATTGCCACGCGCGAGGATGCGGAGCTCCAAAGCGTAGAACGACGCGACGAGAACCCGAGGTTCGAGCGCGAGCGAAGGGTCGTGGCAATAGTCACGTAGGTCAACACGAGGGCAAAGCGTGATCTGTCGAAACCCTTAGCTGACCTATTTCAGCCAGATGCTGCGGAGACGCGGCCTAGGCGTGGGCATGCCGCCGTATTGACGCGGCCTTGAAACTGGGGTTAAATGTTGTCGTCGATGCCTCGCTGCAGAGCCGAGGAAAATTTGAAAAAAAGAGGATTTTTCTGTTTGCTAGAATCTATCGGACTTAGGCGCGTTAGCGTTTGGCTGGTTTGATACCAGAGGAGAGTTCGAACGAATGCGGAAATTCAGAAATCGTTCGACTGAACTAAAAGTTTCGTCCGAACTGTGCGAAACTGTGGCGAACGGCGCCGCAAAGTTAAACGAACGCTAAATATTATTAATATTATACTCATTTTTAAGAGCCAAATCTCTAGTTTTCTTTACCCCGGAACTTCTGGGTCTAAGATGTAGGGGCTCGAGGGTCTAGCATTTCTCTGTCATACTTTTTTGGAGCAGCTCGGAATGTAACGTTCGCGGAACCAGATCGACCGTTCGTCCACGCGAATGTCGCGGGCTGAATTCTAACAGGACACGCGATCGTGGCATCGAATTCAATGTCCGAAGACACCAGCGGGATTCCTAATCGAAAAGCATTTGGGTCCAAGGTTCCACGAAAGAATTTGCAGACAAAATATTGGGATTAAACGGCTGCAGCCTTGGACGGCGGCGCTGGATTTCTCTATGCGTCATCGGTGTAATTTCGTGTCGTACCTTTCGTTCGAATTAGCGTCACGTTCTCCGAGCGGGTAGCTCGATTGTCACCGAGAATCGCAGGTAGCAAACACGACTCTCGCCAGGTACCTGAGCCGTTCTTTTCGGAGCGTGACTCAGACTTCCGTGGCCCGGAGTGGGTCGTTTTGATAAACAAAATCCCGCAGGCGGACATTGTTATCTGGAGATCCCCGATCGAATGAGTCATTCGACGTCAAGACGACGAAGTCCGAGATAGATCGTCTAACTAGATAAATATGGATCATAGATGGATTCTACGGTCTGACAGAGGCGCGAGACCGTAAAGAGAGTAAAATTTGTATTTTTGAAGCCTGAAGACAAAGCAGCTAAAATGAATTTTATCCGAAGTTTAGGCTAGTCTTGATTTGTTTTCTACATTCGGAGAAGCAAAAGTGAATTATGGTTCGACTCTGGTTTCATCGAATTGCTTCGCACACTTTTTATTGCATATTTACAGATTGCTCGACTCTGGTATGAAATTGCGTCTTTTCGCAAGCCGCGGTGATCGTTGTCCATTACATATATAGTTTTGCGCGATATAATACTTTTTTGCGATCAAGCCTTGCTCCAATTTTAGAAACACGGCGGAAATAAAAGTTTGGCCGACACGAGTGGACGAGACAATGTTCGACGAGGGAAGCGATAACGGGAAAGATCGAAACCATTTGGGACATCCTATCGAACGATTGGCTCCCAGACGAGCACTCGAGGATCTATTAATAGTTCGAGGATCGCAGTGTCGAAGATCGACGGTATCGATCGATCGACGGACCTCGTGGCGTCGATCCACGCTGCGCGGAAGTAGGTATTATGCAACGATTCATTGATCCCCGATGTAACCGAGGACCAGACTTTAGACTTTGGAGACGGCAAACCGAGGGGAAAAGGGCGCGCATCGAATCGCGGATCGATTTTTCTATGCGCGACGTATCTATCGCGACCTTCACGCGAAGCGGGCGTGATCGAGCGGCGCGAACGGTCGGAAAACTTGCGGCGGCGATCT